CTTAAAAAGTAAAATATTGGCAACATCAACATATTCTCTTTGTGTTCTCCCCAATCTCTTAGCTCTCCTAAGGTAACTATCTAGAACTTGGTATTTATTATTCTCATGCATTTCTATATATTTTAATATTTATGTAAGTATCCATAAGCAACAAATAGCATTATCTTACTTATGTTTTTAATTTTATATAGATGGCATCATGCTGTATATATAATGCAACTTGCTGTTTTGATCAAGTCATCCACATTGATATATTAGTTCTAGTTCTTCCCTTTTCACTACTGTACAGTACTTCACTGTGTGAACATATCATGCTGTATTTCTCCATTCCCTTATTAATAGATATTTACGCCGTATTCCAATTTTTTTTGCTTTTATAAACAATGCCTATATAAATATCCTTGTATATGTAGATGTACATATCTAAGAATTTTTCTAGTTTTTACCAGACTGGTGAAAGTGGGTTACAGATATGCTAAGATATAATCTCCTCAGTACACAGGATGGCATGATGGGGGCCACCTAAGGCATCTGGAAAAATTCTAGCCTGTTGCTTCCTGCTGGGAGCAGTAAATTCAGAGTATCTTACAAATATAACTATATTTTTGCAAAGAAGTTTAAAGGAATCATTTGCTCTGGAGATACACTCAAGAATGGAATTGTTGGTCTTAGGGCATGAACATCTTCACATTTATTTGTTTTCCTGGATTGCTCTTCAAAGGATTATTTTACTTCATATAGTTTAGTCCATTACTCCCAAAAGGAAGGAACTGAAGGAACCTCCACCCTTTGAGGGGAAGGAAAGATGTCAGGAACTGGACACATCCAAAGACATTTTATTAAGCTACTGAAGGAAATTTTCACCAAGATGAGCAAGGGCTTAAGGACTTGCTCCCATACAGGTAGTATTCTTTCTAGGCATGCTCTACCTGCCACAGACTGATGAGGTAAATGGGATCCAGGGCTTGTTACCCCTTTCTCACGTACACGCTTCTTCCTGAAGGAGGCATGGTTTTCACTGATGTGGAGTTTTAAAAGGCTGCCCTATCCTAGACAAAAGAAATTCACCACTTGGTCCTGTATAGCTGCGGTCCCCAACCCTCAGGCCGTC